ACTTCGTGTATACGGGAGTTCTCTCCCTTTTGATTAATACAATTTACCTTATCAAAAAAAAAGAACTAGATTACTGTAAAGGCAATGAACTAGACTACAAACCAAGAGAGCGAAAAATTAGTACATACGATATAATTTAAAATTTCTTTCAATTTTTTCCGGTTATTCATTGTTTAAAACCAAAACCAAATTTTATCGGTTTCTAAAATTAAAAATCAAAGCCAAAAAATGTCGTTTTTCTGTTTGATTGAATTTTCAGTTTGGTTTGATTTTTCAATTTCCAATGAACAACACTACATGCTGGTATGGTGTTCCACAAAACTGTAGCACCTTCTACTGTCATAAAATTTTGGAACTAGAGGTGCAAGGTAGCCTAAGAAGTCTAACCCACACTTATTCTGGCTAGAAGCTGGACAGAATACACCCCGCTGCTGGCGACCGCCATTTTGACAATATTTCCATCTTCACCATAACTCTTTCAACTTCTTGCCTTGCGAGTATTTTGAATAGGAAATGTAGCCCATTCATTACAAAGACTCACTCTATTAGGAACTCTCCATTTCTGCTGCAGCCATCTTCGTATCCCCGAGCAATGAGGGATTTCTTGATTGTTGTCTTCAAATCTTCCAATTATGCATGTGTTCAAAAGGTCTCTATGTTTGGGAGGAGACTTCCATAAGATTCTGTTATCTTTCTCTAACACCACTTTTGGGTTACTATCTATTGGTATCCCTGAGCAATAAAGGATTTCTTGATTGTTCTCTTCAAATCTTCCAATTATGCATACGTTCAAAAGGTCTTTAGTATGGGAGGAGACTTCCATTACATAAGATTCTGTTATCTTTCTCTAACACCACTTTTGGGTTGCTATCTATTGGTTGGCCATCTGCTACTTCTGATTGCTTCTGCGGAAGTGATGGGGTTTCTTGTCTGGTAGTCCTTATTGGGGCTTGTCGAACTTATTTTGCGAATCATTGAATTTTGAAGACTAAGTCTTTCCAGCCAGAGTTGAAGTATGTTTCTGGAGAATGATAACACTTCTCTTTCTTGTAAACAAGACTTACAGAACATTTCTCACAGAAGCTCACTCATATTATTTTGCTGTTACTATCCGGATAGTTACAGAAGCTCTCAAAATCATCACTGCCCCAAATACGATTTAGCTATAACTAAGTTGTCTCGCTAAGATAAACCCACCTCAATTTGCATTGAAATTCCAACTCCAAAATTGGAGAGATGAATTAAGATCGTCATAAAATACTGCATTTAACATAACTAAAATACTGATAACAAACATATGCAAGATATTTATAAACTGTGTACTTGATGTTTGATACCAGTAAACTGGTAGGACTCTGACTAGCCCCACCACTGGGGTACCTTTTATTAAAATAAAAAATAAAAAGAGAAAATCTATTAACCACTCTATAACTGAAAACACTCAGAGAGCTTAAAGAAAACACCTGGAAGCATGTGGAGGAGGTAAAGTACTCACTTGTCTTCTACTTGGATTAGGATCTTTTAGACCCTGTGATAATATTGGGATAATCGAAGGAAGGACTCTTTCACCAAGCTTCCTAACAAGCTCACCCAATGCTCGTCCAGAAGCCTGCAAATTTTTAGACCAATGATTTCTTATTTCCAGAACAAATGTTTTACATTCTTGTTCACTATGAACAAGAGTACCAGCACACCTGTCTCCTTTCAGAGGATGAAGATGCTAGAGAACTTATCAATGTGCTCATCAGTACAGGCATTATCTCCTTCAATGTTTTCGGGGTATTTGCAACAATGGTCTTCCATACATGCAAAGCAGCCTGAAAAATAAAAATACAAAGTGGTTAAAGTTCATTAATTACTATAATTAGCATCTCAAAACAAGTCGACCACCATAATTGAAGCATCGCATAGTATATGAAACAAATACTACCTGCCGCACGGTTATGCTGACATCGGTTCGGACCATATACAATGCAGCAAGGACTTCATTGCGTTTTTCCCTTCCAAGTACCTCAATAATAGCCCGTCCTTGAGCCTCAGTACTGGCACCCTCATCATCACTCCCGCCCTCAAGATGTGCTTTTCCAGATGTTCCAGCAACCTAGAAGAAAATATAACATTAACAAACCTGCTTCTTATATAATATGATGCTAAAGTGCAATGCTTACCTTGAACAAAAGGTCACCCAGCAACTCTACAGAACTCTGCCTGATACGCCAGTTATCATTGAAAATACCTTCTTCCACAGCAGGAAGAAGCAGAGGCAAAGATCTAAATTTATAGAACAAAAGAAGAGCAGAGAGTAGCAAATAGTCAGCAGATCAATTATCATTCATACTTTAACTATAACAGCATGATTTTTCACTTCATCATAGCCTCTTTCATTGTGTATATCCAAATATATGGTTATGGTACGGGACTCCAAAGTAAACTCGGGAGACAGCTTAAAACTAGATGTGGAAGATGACAAACGCATACGTGGTTGCGTAATGCTCCACCAGAACATGGCCGGCGCTGAGTGCTGCCTCACGCACAGATTCATTCTCATCGGCCAACCCTATTGTAGAAAGTAATGTTAATTCAAGGAATGTCTCCACGCAAGTAAACATAAAAGACGCCCACTAAACTAATACTTCAACTGAATGCTAATTTTTTGTTTATCTCTGTGTGACTGCATGTGTTTGTGTATATGGATGGAAAAAGGGAGGAGAAAGAGAGATAAATTACCATCTAAGATCGCTGGCAGAACTTGCTGCAAATAGTTCTGGAATTGGATGCCTAAAGATCTTGGCAGATACTACAAGCAGCCAAATAATTCATATGAGAAAATTTACAGAAGAAGAAGTTATCCGTCTTTCTAAACACAAACTTCAAAAAATGTAAGTGCTTACCCTAAAGAGCGCCAAGTGCCCATCACGAACTGATGCCTTTTGATGAGAACAATTTCTTATGATCTCAGGAAGTATATTCTCAAAGTACTCTATTCCTAATGCGGCCAATACCTGGGAAAGAGGAGAAAACACTTGTAGGTTGAATGTGAAAANACAACCAAGTTTGAAAGAGAAAGAAGAGCCAATAAGATAAAGATGCTCAAAAACCATTTCAACTTGTTTATGCAAACAATGTCACTAACTTATTTTAGAGTTAAAACCACCATACTAAACCAAAACAAGACGAGCAAAGTGTGCACACAGCATAAAACCTTAATCTTGCCAACATGGAAGAAGAAATTTTTTTGAAGTCCAAAAAAGATCTATTATAGTTACCTCTTGATCAAAAAGCACAGGTAAGAGACCATGTTAATGCTAACTTAGAATTAAGATCCAAAATTTATTTTAAGTGAAAAAGCTTGAGATTGGGGCCCCCCACTGACAGCTTCTTCTAGAAATGAAAATCCTCAGCAAAGGGAGGTTTTCAACTCCTTATAACAAGAGAGAGAGAGAGAGAGAGAGAGAGAGAGAGAGAGAGAGAGAGAGACTGTAACCAAGTAACACCGAATGAGATAACTATACCTCACTTAGTCCTTGTGCAGCCCCAGAACGCTCAACATTGCTTCCATCAGACTTCAATGTATCTAACAACCAAGGCACCAGGTCTGGGAAATTCTCTTCTCCCATCCCCCGTATAAGAGAACCAATGGCTCTTGCAGCAACAGATCGAACTTCAGGAATTGGATCCACAAGTACCTGAAATCATATGTAAAGAAAATCGAGTCAACTTTTGGGCTCATCATAACGTGTTACTCCAATTATTTCCAGAAGTACCTTTTTAACTTCAGGTAGCAGTAGTCCAATGTATGGTATCATGTCCTTAGGTTCTGTCACTAATGAACACATATTTCCAGCAATTTGTGCAGCTTTCTTCTTGGTTTCAGCACTCCTTTCGCGAAGCCCACGGTGTACAATTGGTACAAGCAGAGCGAGAGAAGGAGCATCAATTGAATTCACAAAGGTTGTCTGCAAGTATTGGAATAAGAAATTAGCTTATCAGGAAGTACATGGAAACCAGATTACCTATCAAAAAAAGTACATGGAAACCAGAGTTATCAGAAAACGCATTTACCTGGAGGAGAATATCAAGGGAGTATTTTGTATACTCATTGGGATCTGTAAGACCCATTAGAAGAGTAGGGACAAGTGCAGATATCTCAGGGTTCTTTATAACACTCCCAACCTATATTCAACAAAAGACATAACTAAACAATAAATAGCAAGAAGTAGAACTAAGAAGTAAGAGAAACTTGATCGTGAGATTGTTTAACCTGTTGAAGGGCTGTCTGTCCAGCTGATTGAACCTTGGGATGAGTGTCAGTAAGCACCTGTACAGTATTACCAGAGCAGTATGAAACTGAGACCAGTATGGCCCTGTAGTCAGAGACAGTAAGTACTAAGTTTGCATGCAGAAGAACAAACCTCAGTTAACTTGGGCACAATCTTAGGGAGACATTGTGACAATTGCTGTGGAGCACAGTACGCCATGGCACCAAGAAGTTGTACACTACTCTGCTTGGTTCTCCAAGCTTTATCTTCAAGGCCCTGACACAGAAAAGTAATAGTAAACATAGGTCTCATGTGATGAAGGCTAACTAATAAATGAGTTTTGTGAATCCTAAACACATTGTAGGTTTATCAACAAAGGAACTGAGGATCCAATCTGTCAATTCAGATGAAATATACGGATGCCAAGAGGTAGTACAAACCCACAATATAAGCATTCATGACATGTTAGACTTGTTCTTCAAAAATCAAAGAGCAAGCATGCATTACAGCTACAGTTTCTCTATTCCTACACAGCTAAACAGTCCTCAAGGTTAACCAACGTAGCCCGGTGTACAACAATTTCTCGTCATCAAAGAGCAGTCTCAAAACCTATAATTTTTCCTATTTCTAAGAGTCTCAACAAACTACAAAAACATGTAGGAATAGATGTACATTGAAAAAGAATTTTGAGCATGCATTCATAAGAGTACACTCTAAGTGTGTGCATAAATTACATTCTGCAAGATTACTCCATCATCCAGTTAACCACATCGCTCGACCAATATATTACAGATAGCGTCGGTTGCAGTGAGCCGAGGTAAAGGGGAAAAGTTAAATTAAGAACCTGTAAAAGTGATGGAAGAATTAGTTTCACTCCTTGAGCACTAAGCTGAGACATCATTGCCCGAGCAGCACATTCAGCAGCATCACGCACCGCGACAACTTGATCAGAGAATGAAACCAAGAGGAAAGGTAACATTTGAATTACATACCTGAAGGAAAAACAGGGAAACAGGTGAATCATAATTGATTATTTTATTCCACATCCAAGTTCAAATTACATACGAGGATAAGCATTTCACTTGTATCATGTTACGGAGAAAAGAAATATAAACTGATGGGCATGCAGACATACGGTTCAAACAACTTCCCAAGCTTCTCACAGAAGCATTCAAATGCAAGCAGTGCACCTTCACGACTCTTAGCTGAATTCCTGCAAATAAAAATCGATTCAGATCCTGGAAGGAGAAACTTTCATATGCAGAGGTGCAGTTACTGAAATATAATGAAATCAGCAACCTCGTAACAAAGCGATATCAGTGAAACAATGTCAATGTCAACTATTGCTAGCTAAACTGCCAGTCAAGAAATAATCCTAAAATTCCGTATTATAAAAGAAAACAATCAACTACACGTCAATCCGAAATTAAGTGCCGAGCTCAAACTTTAAACCTATAACGAAAAGAGAAGGCAAGCTGAAAGATAACAAAGTCACGTTTCCCCTTTTTTTGGTTGCGGGCAGGTACCAACTTGGAAAATTAATTCACAAATTAAGCCAAGAAAACGTTTATCTATTTTAACACCACACATCCTTGGACCACAAAGACATAATCACCGTTGATACAAAATGGTATATGTCAAGCGATCGTAACCTTGAGATTTCGCATCAACAATGTCTAGCACACAAAGATAAAGGTAATTAGAAGAATTAGTTCTTCTCGCTAATTCCATTATTTGATGTCTCATCTGAGTTGTTATTCATGACACTTCATCGCATCCTTGGAAAAGGACAGAAAGTCCCTTGAGTTGAAAACCATAACTCAACCTCAGCTTTTAGAGCGATTAAGACATGCCAGAAGACTAACCTGTCAGCAAGACCTTCATGTAAAGCTTTTACAATGCCATATTTCTTCAGGCAAGCTATTCCAAATCCCTTAACCACCCCTGCAAGTCCAAATGCTGCACCCCGGCGTTCTCCGTATTTGTCACTCTTCATTAGCTGATTCAAAAGCCTAGAAACCAGAGATGGTGCATCCTCCTGGTGCAAGAGAAGAGATGGGCAAAAAGAGAATCCAGTTTCAGCTTGCAAATAAGGTAAAAACTATCAAAAGGTTTTGTTTGGACAGCAGAAAGAAAGAGAGATGACTAAGGAAGTAAGATCACAAACAAAAGATCTGGAAGAAAAACAAGGTCAAAGTTATAGAAACGAAATTAGGACACAAACTACAACAACAACAACCCAGTATAATCCCACTAGTGGGGTCTGGGGAGGGTAGTGTGTACGCAGACCTTACCCCTACCCTGGGGTAGAGAGGCTGTTTCCGATAGACTCTCGGCTTCCTCCCTCCAAGAACTCCCCACCTTGCTCTTGGGGTGACTCGAACTCACAATCTCTTGGTTGGAAGTGGAGGGTGCTCACCACTAGAGCAACCCCTCTTGTCAGGTCACTAAAATTAATAATTCATATTTCCCTGACTTTACGCAGTACAGAACAAGAAGTAGAGAGAATGCTTCCCGAACTAGATTGGAAGAGAAAGTGGGGATCATATACCACTTTCCTCCCCACTGTTACTTTTCATCCTTTTAAATAGATGTTAAGGTTGAAAAGAACAAAATCCCTTCCAGGAATTTGAAATTTTGAATTACAAAATACAAACAAATTTAAAAGCTAAGTGAGACAAGAAGTCCTTCAGAAAATCTCAAGGAACTATCAGAATTGGCATGGTAAATACATGAGAATAGGTCTGTAGTTAACCAAATAAGTCTCCAGTTACCACCTCAGAACACTGATAGCCTGAAGGAAAAAGGAACCAAAATTCAAGATAGCTTAATATATTGGATTTTACTCGCCATAAAACTGAAAGGCTTGACTGCAAGATTCATGCAAAGTAGGAAGAAACAGATGGTTCTAAATACTGTCACGATGGTTCTTTTTACTTGCTTTGCTAAAAAGTAAGACCCTTCTAGAGGAGAGAAGTAAAGTTAGCACAATTCACAAGAATATATGATATATCATTCCACACAGTAAACCTATTTTATGTGGACTTAAATATGGACATGGACATGGACGTGGACATGGAATGGGTACAGGCACGGGTCTTCTTTTTAATTGGTAGGGCACATCTAAATTTTAGCAAGTTGGCGTATTATGTAGGATTTAGACAAAGTAACCAAGCCAAATCATATCCTTTTGACACATGTATGTTACATAAAGTCTATGTAGCCTGGCAGCAAACAAAAGAAAACACCTTTTACTGCAATAACAGGAGTTTAATAACTGCAGATTTGTTCAAGAATTACAGTCTTGAAATGTGGCAATCATTCGCGCTCGTTACAGTTAAATGGGAGTTTAATAACTGCAGATTGTTCAAGAATTACAGTCTTGAAATGTGGCAATCATTCGCGCTCGTTACAGTTAAATGGGAGTTTAATAACTGCAGATTGTTCAAGAATTACAGTCTTGAAATGTGGCAATCATTCGCGCTCGTTACAGTTAAATGGTATACAGAAGCTTTTCTAGAAGATGCTTAACTAACCTGCTTTGCTTGCATAAGTGGAGAAAGGCAGGTAGCGACAGCTCGCTGAACAGCTTCAGAAGGAGTGTTGAGTACATCCAGCAACTTCTCCACAACTGCGTGAACCTTAGGGTCATCCTGTTCCAAAATAGACATGGTATAAGGAACTAGAATCTTAAGACGTCACCATTCTTTACAAAGGACCAAGTTTATAAGAGGGAAGATCAGTTACCTTGGCCAAATGCTTTGCCAAAGCTCCGGTAAATATTACTACACCTTCACGGACCAGATCATATTTCTCCTCATCTGAAGCCTGCCCAATCAACAATTAGTTGGGCATTGTACGATATTTTAACATATGATATATATTAAAAGACTATAACTAGCTTTTAACATCCACAAACGGGCAATAGGAGTCAACACAAAAAACTCAACTACCGATAGTTTAACCCCATCCCAAAGGTATAAAACCTCTAGACAGTAAACCAAATAGATGATGGTGGAAAATAAAATGCCATACCTTTTTGTTCAAGTAGTTTTCGAAAATAGGGAATAGCAGTGAGACATTGTCTCTTCCATGTTTGTCAATAATAACTATACCGGCATTTATCATTCTTCCTCTAACATCTGCATTAGGATCCGCCTGCGATTCCAAAGCCACATTAGTCAAACCCAAATGATATAACCTTTTTTATGAAATTTCACATATTTCTAAAAAGTTTATTTCGACGGTTTACAAAACTAAGTGAAGCACGAAATTTCATAAAACAGAAACTTATGAGTGATCTGTGCTTTAAAGCCTTAAATAAAAGGAGGGAGCTCCTTAAAAGCCAAGAAAAAAATATCTCGGCAAGGATATTTCAATTTTAAAAGAGTTGTCACGTTTAGTATCATGATAGCAAGACAAACTCTTGAAGACCTTCATTGCCAAAATCAGCATGCGTCAAAGTAAATAAAAACTTCCATGCACCTGTTAGTGATATCATCTAGAAATCTTTTGAGAGAGACACACACACACACCGAGAGAGAGAGAGAGTAAAAACTTCCATGCACCTGTTAGTGATATCATCTAGAAATCTTTTGAGAGACACACACACACACACACCGAGAGAGAGAGAGAGAGAGAGAGAGAGAGAGAGAGAGAGAGAGAGAGAATGAAAAGAAAAAATGCAGATCTTAGGCTTTAACGAAAAGCAAATTTGCAGATCTTAGGTTTTATCATCTAGTATGATATATTAAAACTTAGACATGACTAACAACACCTTTTATTCAGAAAAAAGAAATTATTACCAGTGCCCTTGAAATTAAGAATGTCATAACAACAGGAAGGTCCTTTGCTCTAAGAACATCTGCCACAGAAAGTAAAGCCAATGCTATTCCTTGTCTGCCTATCCAGCCAAAATCGATGTTGTCTTCACCAGAACCAACATCACGGATGTACAAAGAAAATAAAGTTGAAAGACATTCCTGAAAGCATTGTTTATCCAAAAAACTTCCACAATTGTCAGTGAGAACTTTCAATACATTTCCAGTAAACAGAATATAGAAGCTAAAAAAACCTGTATCGTATCTGGACTTTCATCTAAAGCAGCAGCCAAGGCCTCAGCAGCAGCCACTCGCACATTATAATTAACATGGGAAAGAGCTTTGAAGATGCCTGAGTAATCTGTCCCTAAGTCATATCCGTAATGATCCCAGATGTCTTCAGCAGCTTCAGCAACACACTGAATAGAGAACACGCAAAGTTCATACTGTCACGATAACATTTTGGACAGAGAATAAAAATATTGAATCAGAACAATTAGTACCAAAAATTTGAAATGAATGTCTGAATTGCTGCTACATAGACAACCCAACTTAAGATACTCAAGCTTATAGTTGATTAACTAATTCAGCAAATATCATAAGACCAGACTGTTCAGATACGAAGTTATTAAGGTCCTAAGATTTACCTAAGTTCAAATCATTGCTTTTTGTCACTTTCAACTAACAGGAAGTGCGGAACTGTATAATGTGGGCAGGAAGATATTGTTAGTCAGGTAAATGCTCAAGAAGTGACAGATGGGAGGAACCAAACCATAGGACCAATACCATGAAAAACAGAACCCAATATATTTAGCTCCATGTTGGTTTTGCACTTTTGTTACTGCAACACAAGTTGGAGAACGTTTCGTAGAGTACTCATATCTCTTCTAATTTCTTTGCTTTCCTAGTTTATGTTTTGTAAATTGGACTTTCAAGTCCTTCAATCAGACACTAGAAAGGACAACATATCTGCCACATATTCCCCCAGATAAATGATAAGGGAGCTGTTAAACAATTTGAAAGGTGGACAAGGGATGTTTTATGTCACAAGAATAAATGATAAAATTAATAATCCGAAACTCACAAGGAGAACCGAAATAGCTTTCCAGGAAAACAGAAGAGAAAGGAAGTAAATCCAGTTGCCTCCTGCCCTTGACAAGCACATATTGGAGCTCATTAATGATGTGGAATGTTAAGCTAGACTAAAAGTCTAAACTCTTTTCTAACGTGAAATCTTGAATTTTTATTACTACTGATATTTGAAAACATACTGTACTTGATGGCAGTGTTCATTGCTTCCCCTATATATTAGACATTAGTGCAACCATAATAAAAATAGACACTTAACCTATGTGCGGGAACTATACTTGACCAAAGTAAAATGCTTACGAGTCATTGTGCAGATCTGAATAACATATCATATTAATATTTAAGGAACTGAAAATTTAGAGTTAGAGCAATTATCACTAGAAAAGGAACTTTTGCAAGAATGTGTAATACCTTTTCAGGATCATGTAAAGCAAGCCAGATGCAGGTGGCAATTTCACTACTTTGTGGGACAGAATGACGAGACACAGCAGGAATGCATTTCACAGCATTTAAGCAAGCCATCCTTACATGGATATCTTTAGCATAAACACCAGATAGAGCCTGCAAAGAGCATGAAACACAAGAGATCATAAGTCTTATGTGGAAACTCACAGAAGAAATCATAACCACACCACATACAGGTGCCACTTCAGCTGATCGCAGCCCAAGGCATAACTCATTTAGTGCCGGTCCAATAGATGCTTGATAAGCAGGAACAACCCCCAGGACATGGTAAAGAACCTATAAAAACACCAAGATAACCCGTCAAAAATAGATACAGGAATGATTATCAAGGTATAAACAACAAAAAGCTATAATGATCGTAACTGAGAGCATTTGAACTCTAGGTAGGGGTAAAATCGGATCCAAATGCAAGAATATTATCTTGAGAACATCATCATGAAGTCTGGTCTTCTTGGGAGATAACAATATTCTCTCCATTATCTAGGCATGCAACAAAAAGGAAAAATTAAAAATATATATATCAGAGAATGTCAATGACAAGGAAAGAATAATTACCACCAGAAAAGTAAAGTTATCGGAGTATGATATACATGATCAGATCACAAACTTACAGGGAAAACAAAAGTAAACGAATCCACAGGGATAGAACCGGTTTTGCAAGAGACGGATAAGCCATTTGTCACGCGCTCAAAGAGACCAGGCCTTTCATTTGATACCTCCTCACCAGCAGAAGGAATTTGACCCCATAAGACATTAACATCCTCTGACATAATTAACCTTAATGCTGTTGCAATTTCAAGAGCCCAGTTACAAAGAGGAGCAGCAGTACACTTTGAAAGCTTCACCAGCGTTCCATAAGCCACATCACCAACTATTGGTGACCGTAGAAGAGGATTGGTAAACTTCACCTAAAGATCAGATCACACAAAAGAGTTAAAGACAGCAACATACAAGGGTATGACCCTCAAAAGTACAACTCCGATACACTAGAAAAGTTACACACCGGCCCAGATTTCTTTTCTATTGGCATTATAGGCACATGGAATTATATCATTTTGATAAGACAGAAAAATCCAGAAGATAACTATTAGTTAGGGTAAAGTCTCTAACTTAAGTTCACGAAAAACACAAAGATACCAGTCTACCAAAATAGAATCAGGGCAGAACAGGGTCAAATGAGCTATTCCGATAATTGAAGTCGGATAAACTCAACAAAGATGAAAGAAATGTTTACTATCCGGCTCAACACCCCATAGCTAAATTAGTGTTCCTAATTTTCGCTTCCCCTAGTACAACAATCAACATCTATTTTCCAGCTTAACTATATAGATGTTTATCAGGCAAAGTAAAGCTTAATAAGCAGCACCAAGAAAGTGCTCTGCAGCAAAAGATTGCACTGGACTTCCTTATATACTAACCTACATAGTCTGCAAGGTTCTGGGCGCGTGGATATTTACATGAGGACAAAAGGAAAACTTCCTAGTCTTGTACAACACGGATGAACTCTATGAGCTTTTCTGTTCTCTATTAGTTCCTTTTTATAAAAATTATGCAGTCAACTTGATTTTACTGATGGGCTGTTGCTCTATTTCGGAACACCTGACTCCAGTTTCTCTCCTTCCAAATTATCCAGCATATGCATGCAGGGATTTTGTTCCACATCCTTATGTTCGTGGTGGTAATTTTTCTATTCCATCAAAATAGTAGCTCTTGAGATTATAGCATTGCCCATTTCAAGTTTAGCATATTAAGAAGCATATCCCAGAGTTTAGCTCTAACCTTGCACTGTACGAATATGCCGCAGTTACTTCCATCTCTCTTTAGCATGGATGGAACTAACTGAGTTGTAGCCTCTCTTTTGCAAGTTGTCTTGCAAGCATGATTGATATATGCAGCTTAACTATGTACAGTTTTTGCATATTTTAAATGCAAGAATAATATTTCACCTGTCTAATTGGCCCATATGTTCATTAATATTAAATAAATCGAGCAATATCAGGTAGGTCAGGTGTTCAACCACCAGCTGGAAATATGACAATTAATGTTTTTACCGAGGGCCATCAAAATCTAACATGTCTGAAGTCTGAACTTCAAAGTATGCCACAATAGGTTAAGAAAGAGTTGGTGCTTTTCTGAGAAAAATCCACCCTCCTTAGAGCTATGATAAAATCCAACTTTAGAGACAAACCAAACTTAGCTCTACTTGCACTTGTAGTACAGATTTCCTCAAAAGACCCACTTGTGGTCCTTTTTGCTGACCGTTTTCGTCTTTAACTAACCGACAGAAAGTTGCATCAAACTGTTACCATTTAGTAGCAACATTTTTGCACGACATAATAGGAACAATGAAAAGATACTCTAAGATGCTCATTCCTCACTATATGATTTACCATAATAATAAGACCAGCAGAAAGTCATAATCCAAATATTCCCCTCTGGACAGTCACAGACTTATAGTGATCAAACTGGAGAGAATAGTTGAAATTTCCACACTTCACTGATATTTCTTACATATTTCCTTAGGAACATAGGCCTTTATTTTATGGATGGGGGTGGTTTGGTTGAGTAGAATATATATTAGATGACACCTTCTTAATGTACAGACGATATTATGTTGGATAGCAGAGAGCATAGAGCACACTAACCAAGGAAGGTAACTGACTGTGAGTGAAAACAGGATTAGCTATGGCCATTTCTCCCAGAGCTTTCAACATTGAAGAAAGATTCTCTTTTACAACCATGACCTTTTCACGTATACATGCTTCCTCCCTTAGCTGCACCTCCCGTGCCTCTTCCTTTGCACTTTTTCCCTTATCTTTATTATCTAAAAGAAATAAAATATCACAATGGAATAGATGATTAACAAAAATATCTACTATAATTAAAATAAGTTCAACAGAAACGGAAAATATCAAAAAGGTACCAGCTTTCTTTGATGATTTTCCACCATCTTTTTTCGCCACTCCAGTAACCTCTTTGCTAGAGGGCTCACGCCTTACAGTATGATTAGAATTCATTTGGTCCTGTATGCAAAAGAAATCTCTTCCTTAAGAGAAGTAAATACAGAGGATATTTAATTCTGGACCTGGGAAAGATAGATTGTATGCTCACAGGGCCATCACTATTATCGTAAAGCCTAAAACGGCCTTTTGGTTGTTTTGTGTTCTTAGTTGCAACAGATTCAGCAATGTAAACCCCTTGTTCAGTAGAAAGCAATCCTTCAGGAGTTTGAAAAATCTAAATGCAAGAAGCAAAATCAAAAGATTAGTCAGTAAATAGCTATTAAGAAAATAAAAAGAACCGGTGAAACAAAGCCAAAATAGGATATAAATCAAATAAACGGCTAATGACTTTAAACACACTTATTAGGAAGCAAGAAAACAATAGCACTATACGATATCGGAGAGAATAATGTGTCTCAAAAAATAATTTGAAAATTTGGTAACTTACAACCCCTTCCCCTCCTGCTCCACCGAAACACTCAAGATAAATGAAAAAGAAAAAAGACGGAAAAGAGGAGCCATAGAGTTGAGTGATTTGAATCTGAGATATGACCACTGACATTCGGCTGTCAGCATTATAATAATAATAGTTAGCATTAAAACCTCTGCTAGAAAATCTAGCAGGCAAAACATATGCTTCTTTGATAGGATCTCAGAGGTAAGTTTTCCAAAGGCCAAGAGTTCAGGTCAGTTAGAGGTCAATGCTTCACCAGCATATTTTCATGGGCAGCAATTCCTCAGGCTTTTAATCTACAGGGTAAAAGAAAGTTTAGTGTCTCTTGCACAGGCCTGATTCAAATGATTAGGACCATGGTTTAACAATCGGACTTTACTGTTTCCAAAAAAAATATCCTTAGCCATTTATGACAAATAATTAGCAAATTTGTTTTCATTCTATATAAAAGTCTGTGACTTGCAGATGAAAGAGCATCAACAGGCTTATTAGTCCTACAATATCTGATTAATGAGAAGATGTTTCTTTGCAGCTAATTGAATTGGTTGGGCAGGATAAGAAGATTAGGCATGTAACAAAGTATAAACAAAGAAAAAAAGTTACAACCTGAAACACAAAATTAACTAAAATATAGCAAATAAGTTGCAAGCAAACCCCTTGAGGGGACTAAAAGAGCTTGTCATCATGAGAGTTAGTGAGGGCTGATCCAGGCTGTGGAAAAGTATCAGCATTAATTGGGGGGAAATATTTACAAGATCACAAGTTCAGAGGACCCATATAATGTCTCTACCTCTCTGTCTCTCTCTCTCCAAAGCTCTCATACAATTGACATGTACTAACTTGAACATGCTTAAATGCCAGATATAAGACATGAAGAATACCCAAATATAGATCAAGTAACTTGCATTAAATTGCACACATACTCATTATACGGTGTATCCAAGCATATGAGTGTTAACTATCAGATACATCCATAAAATTCTAAAGATCATGAGTTGCAATCATCATCGAATCTAGCAACAGGAAAGGTAATGATATTACCTGAATGTCATTTTCAGATAACATATCATGCGTGCTACGGTCTGGAAGATTGTTGAAGTGCTGGCGAGGAGAATTAAAGAATTTATAACCAGATTAAGCAATAACAAGTGACAAACAATAACTTCAACAAAACCATGCAAATAACCTTCTCAAACTCCGTGTAGGTTTCTTTAGGTAACATGGACATCAAAGTTGATAAGGAGTTTATTGCTGCCTCTTGCTCAAAATGATTACCACTCAGCAGACCCGTCGATCCCAACAAACCCTGAAAGTTAAAATTATGGGATAAGTTACTGACCGTCTGTCAATGAGGGATGATTCCCAGTTGAAATAACATTCTGTTTGGCTCCAGGAAGGAGAGAGAAATGTGAAAGGGAGTATTCATTTACTTCATTTACGCGATTATTGATGATTTATTTTTAGTTGTTTGATGCATTTGATAGGAGGTAAAAGTGCTTCAACCTTCCCACCCAGTTATAGAAGGATTATAAAACTGGCATGGAGGGCTTGGATATTCCTACACTTTAACGTCCTCTCGCTCTCACTTCCTTACCAAGTAAGAGAAGCAGCCCATAGCCTCTACTTTTACTTCCCCTCGTCCAACTCCATTTGAAGTTATCAGGCAATAAAAGAGGGGAGAGAAAGAGGTAAGCATGATTTTGACATGATGCAGAACTGTGTATAAACAATATTGTTTTCCAAAACTTTCCATCTCAGCATTCCTTAATGATATGTAGATCTTTCTAAAGACAACAATGTTCTTCCACAAAAATAAGGAAAATAACAGCAAAGAAGTTGCAGTTCACCTTGCACAAGCCAACCACATTAGTTGTGACAAGACCAATGACATCAATACCATGTTTTAGCAAACATTTTTGCACCCTCTGACAAAACAAAAACAAAAGAGGTTTAGCCAAGTGATTAAGTGAAATATGCATAAGATAATTTCTCAACTAGAAGGAAAGTTAGAAATTAAAGGCAACAAAAGAGGGGGAAAAAGAACAAGTTCATATAAACAAAACCTGATAAGACCAAACACTATGCAAGAAAAACCCCTCATACAATTGTCTGGTAAAATACCTCACTTATTATATTCATAAGAAGTTCCAACTATATGTGGCAAACAAACATGTGTGGTAACGAGAAAAGCTAAAAGTAAACTTTTAACTATATGTTTCAAAGGACAAGACACTTTCAAGTACACAATCGTTACCATTCTCGTCAACTTTCCTGATAAGCTGTATTTTAAACAGTTTAGATGGTTAGGATAATCTTCACAAACTTCGAAAAGATACAACTGTAGTGGTACATATGGCAAACCTTATATACTTTTCAGCAATATTTAGCTAAAAGCATTAAAACCTCCTAAAGTATGATCATCAAAAGTATTACAGAAACATAGAGTCAAGAGTGTTGTCTGTTACAACTATTACCTAATTGATTATCAGAGATTCTAGTGGATTTAATCGTCCTACTTGTTATCACTGTTAAGAGCAAAGTGCTAAATTTCATCACAGTACACACCAAAGTATGTGCGCTCGAATTTGTACAATTGTTAAGAAAGCTGTGTCATCATTGGTAAATGAATTAAATCCTATCCATATATTAATATTTTATCCTTTGGGCTCATCCAGCCAGCGAGTCAGGAAATGTTTGCAGTGATTGAGGATGAGAGGAAGTTGGATCATATAAGTTCATACAAACAGGGATATGACCAGGTTTTAGATATTGTTTAGTATATTGTAGATTTATGTTACAGTGAGTATTTTTATGACATTGCTTCTTTTCCCACAGCTACTCTTCCTCCTTGCTTCCCAAACCAGAATAAAATTAAAGGAAAAAAAGGAAGAATTAAAAGGAAATATTAAATCATTTTAGGATGCATCAGGTAAAGAGCAGCTTAATATTTCTTTTTTTTCTATTTCTTGTTTGGAGGTGTCAAAGAGAAATCTAATCTAATCAACAGATATTGAGAAGGATCCAGGCACGAGCAAGAGTAGTACATTACCCTCCACACAGAATTTCTTTTAGCTGTGCCAATTAGGTATGGATGATGCGAGCAAAAAACAACTTGCAAACACGCACTTGGTGCAGCAGCCAAAGTAGCAGACGACATTACAATCAAAGCCTTCACCATAACCTCAACAGATGGAACAAATGGAACTTGAGCATCCAATAAATTTTCATTTTCGCTGCAAGCAAACCATTGGTCCGATGTTTTTTGAATCAGAAGAGATCTTTAAGTACATGAACACGAAAAAAGCTAGATATATCATTGCTAATTAAAGTATGCTTCAGTTTATGCTAATAAATCACATATTAAAGACCCAAAGGATAATTCACGATCAGTAGTTCAACAAGCATACTGAATAGAGCACAAAAGGTATTTGGACTTTAAGTGCAAAGCTTAATTAAAGCGCACTTGTATGCAGAATAAAGGAAAAATATATATGCATGAAAAAAAAAATTATATATATATATATGATCAAGAAAAGATTACTCATAAACCACAAAAGACAAGTAAGAAATCAAATGAAATATATATTGTAAAACCATTAAAAAAAAGGGCAGAGACTAATAGGACATGCCTGTGTACTAGTTAAGAGAATGCTATTTTGCCCCGGGGCATTGGTCGAGTGGTAAGAATTCAGCTCATGATGTGTGGGTTATGGCACATCACATTCAAACCTTGCCATTGACAAAAGTTTGGTATTAAAATGAAGAAGGGTAGAGAGGAGGGCCCATCATACACCTAGTCTAGAACTGTGTGCAACTAGCTCTCGGAGATTTCTCGGTTATAAAAAAATTACCAACTGCACAGACTACCTTAAATTTTATTGCAGTTATTATTTTCTAAAAATTCAGATTCAGTGACTAGCTCTTTTTTCCTTGATAGGCGATTTAGAAGCTAGCTTTCTTATAAATTAAAAAATTTCATACTCCCTCAGTTTCAAAAAGATTGTTTTAGTTTGACTTGGCACAAATTTTAATAAGAAGGGAAAGACTTTTGAGATATGTGTAGCTATAAAACTTTTGAAACTTGTGGTCTGAAACCTGCCATAGCATTTGTGTGGCTATAAATGATTCTTATTAAGGAAATATTGAAAGGCGTCAATCTTTTTGAAACATACTAATAAGGAAATAGTGCCAATCTTTTTGAAACGGAGGAAATAATTTATTATCCCTACGCTAGATATATTAATCCATCCATACTGTTTTATTTACATTAATATTTTATTTTGCGAGCTATATGTATTGGTTACTGCTGCCTTTTTTCAAGTCAGAGGCCGTGAGCGTCATAAAGTAACCTAAATTTTTGCAAAGAAGTTATTGGTTGGGTAGTTTTTGCGGATGTGCAAACCTTAGCGCTTTGGCATCTTCACTGAAGCACACTAAAAGTGACACATTGCACATGGCCTATGTTGTACTTTGCTTCAAGCGGCATTTGACACTACTCCCAATAGGTCTAAATCATTCTCTTTTGTGTATAAAGATTTTTTATTTTCTTATTGCAACACATTTGAACTCTCTTATTAACATACGATGGATATTTCTCTCCTTCCACAAGACCCACATGGGTGCTAATGGTGCAACATCTGATGCTCTCTAACTTCACATCCTTCTTCTGAAAGTCCAACTAGATGAGTGCTTCCTTTAATGTGCCCAGCATTGTCATTGCAGCTGGAACCATCTCAGCATCTCAGACACGCGAGTTACCACCTGTAATGTGGGAGGAAGGTGTTCCACACCTTCATCTCAACATTTGCACATAAAGCACCAAATAACATATTTATCCTCTTTTTTCCCAAATTCTCAATGGTCAGGTTAGTTCCCCCTCACAGCTAATCAAGTAAACAAATACACCTTCTTTCTTACTCTAGGAATCCAAACCGATAAGTCCAAAAAAATCGATTCCTTTCTCACCAAAGCTTATGATAGTATGACTTGAATTAAAAAAATCCATCGCTTCCCATCTCTATAAAGTTCTGACTAATATTTGATATACTTTACTTGTAAAGCAATTCAACCAAGCCTTGGAATTCAACTACTTCTCAATCTTGAAGATTCCTCCAAATACTTATATCCCAATGAACTCATTCCCATCCCCCCCCCCCCCCAACATCCACATGTGTCATATTGTCGACTCCTTCAAGCCGGAAATAATGCCAGGAATATGTCTTAAGGTCTCTTCTCCACACCACATGTGACTCCAAAAGCTTATTCTACTTCCATCTCCCACTCTGAAAGTTATATTGCGGATGAAGTCTTCTCACCCCTTCATAATATTCCTCCAAACTACACCCAAATGAAAGTGTCATAAAAGACTAGAAAACTAAAACCAACGGATCATCATACTGTACATCTCCAAATTTAAACTTCGTTCAGCCATACTTTCACATTACCATCCAAAACTACTCTAGCTCTCCATTTTTCGGGAAGCATCTTCAAAAAACTTTGTATTCTCCTCAACCTTCCCACTCTTTATAGCATGCACTCCACACGTAGTCTCCTTCCCTTCAAGATGAACTAAGCGGACACATATTTGGACAGCACTAAAGGAATTTGGATATTTAATTTGGTAGGTAAGCTTTTTCTTCAATTTCAAATATGCTTTTGTGTTGAAAATACAAGACAAATGACTACAAGTATGTGGAAAACCTCCAAAAAATATTTAACACAGGATAACCTAAATGTTGCTTTAGTTGGATCACCCTAAATTGTGCATGTTTAACACAGGATAACCTTATCAGGAGGAGCTTTAAGCTAGCCAACAGATGTAACATATGCCTTAACAATTCAGAATCTATCAACCACTTATTTCTTCAGTGCCTAGCTGCAGCTGATATTTGGAATATGTTTGTGTCACCTTATGGCTGCAATGGTCTATGCCAGGCAATATCCGAGAGGAGTTTGTGAGCTGGAGCTCATGGTCCTGCTTGCATTTTGTGGTGCATATGGACAGAAAGGAACCAAAGATGTTTTGATGGCATCTCAACTCCCACCCCTACTCTTAAGGCTAGACGTTTGGTTAATCTTTTTAGTTGGTTTAACCGCACTCCTGTATTTAGTATTGATACTTTAGTGGAATTCATCAGCTCACTAGTTTTGTGATAGTTTCTTTGTCTTTGTTTTAGCTGAGAATTTCCCTCTTTTGTAATCTTTGCATCTTCTTGATGCCTATTAATGATATATCACTTATTTCAGCTAAAAACATCCAACAACATACCGAGCGCACAAGGAAACTCATCTACACCAAAAGTTAATAGGAAAAAGAGAGTCTTGACATTTAATACTTAAGTTCTTAATTCTTATGATCGCATCTCTCTCCATACTAGCACAAGAATGCATAAAAGAGCAATCTTCCATAACCTTTTTCTTCCGGTATCCAATTTGTAGGGTTTTTTATGTAGTATCCAATTTGTAGGTCTTCTAACTTTTACATCCTCTCCCGGATTTGCACAAGAAATAACAACAACAACAACAACAACCCAGTATAATCCCACTAGTGGGGTCTGGGGAGGGTAGTGTACGCAGACCTTACCCCTACCATGAGGTAGAGAGGCTGTTTCCAATAGACCCTTGGCATCCTTCCCTCCAAGAACTCCCCACCTTGCTCTTGGGGTGACTCGAACTCACAACCTCTTGGTTGGAAGTGGAGGTTGCTTACCATCAGAGCAACCACAACAACAAGAAATAACAACAAAAAAATCGATGCCCACATCGCACCATGTAAGGATTTTCTTGGGTACCTTCAGTCTCCATGTTGACATCGACATTAGTCTCGGATCACCTAAAATCATGACTTCATAGTATGATGATGACGAACCCTCCATGTCATTTTACCAACCTTCCCAAATATTTTAGAAGTATATACTTCCGCTAGAAATCTCTTCACTTCTTCATTCTCCCAAACCACTATGCTTCTTCTAATGCATGCTCCATGCATGGTATCCTTCATCCCTTTTAAGAATTTTAAATGCTATGAGAGAAAGGTGGGGAATCTCATCTTTTAGAGCATATCGCCACACCAAAATCGAGCCAAAACCAAATTTGTTTCCCATTCCCCACCGAGAATACTATAACTCTTGAAGAATATATTCTATTACATAACCCTTTTCATGGAGTTGCATCATACGGTGACATCTCTTGTCTAAGAACCCCCTATATTGTTTTACATTTTACAACATACTTCAGCTTAATTGCTTTCCTCCATGAGACTTTTTCCTTCTGCGGAATTCACCATAACTAATCCTACAAGTGCTCAATTAAATGTGGTTCATCTTCGGATGCCAGTACTCTATTCCAGAGTCCAGATTGGTGTCATAACCGATTCCCAGCTCACTAAGCAGATTTTTTGCAACCATTCAATCCATCCCATAATGTCCCTCATAAGTTTTTTAAGAATATTATTAAAAGCCAAGTGAACCAAGAGGTTCTCACTGACGGAGAAACCATACGCTATAAAGAAATATGTGCTTCGAATGATAATGCGCAATTAAACCCACCGAAAAGCAGCTCATTCGTTCAATTTCAACTTTGAGGAACAGGGTTAATATTGGCATTATTGTATTGTTTTTTATAAAGTATCGGCATTATTGTATATTGGATGCTAAAATTAATTCTTCTAGTTGCAAGTTGATTATTATAGTACTATTTTTTTATTTTTTTGATAAGGTAAGTAATTTTATTAATGGAAGGGAAAACCACATATACAAGTTGTAACCAAATAGCAGAGAACCTACACCAAAAACTATATGTATAGTATTTTTTTTAATTTGATAAATTGTGTGCTTCACTTTAAAGAAGTACGCGCTTCACTTCTCGCTTTTCAATTCAAGCCCATGAACCTAGCCAGTATTTTCTGCTTTTTGCTTGTAAAAACACTGCTAGAAAGGGTTAAATTTGATAATGAAGTATTTCTAGTAATTAATAGCTTATTGAAAATTTGAAACTAAATACTTATAAAACTGACTTGCGCTTCCTTGATTTCAATTGTCCTTATATTTTAGAGAATCAAAATTTGATTATCTTCAACTAATGTTCTAATTATTGTTTAAGTATTTTTAAGTGAAGAAGGGTAGAGGAGCGAGCCCATTACCCACTGAGTTTCAAACTATCCGCCACTAATCATCGGGGATTTCTCAGTTATCACATAAATTATTGCTTAATTATTTTTAAAATGTGAGAACATAGCTTGTTCTAATTTAAATGACGTGTTCAAACATATAAGTATTATTTTTAAGGAAGTTAATTAACCAAACTTCCAATCTCATTCCAAAAATTAGTCGACTAAATCCTTAATAACAGCAATGCAATATCAATCTGAAACGAAGATATAAAATAGTAAAAGACAAGTACGAGGATAAATTTGATGGGTTCTTCATACTAGTATTGACCCTTTAACCTAGCGGAAGATTTTGAAGCCAATAAACATTTACTCAACCACCAAACTCAAGGAAGACAAGTCAAAAGTACACAGATAATATGGTCATGTGCATGTGAAGTTGATCGAGCACAATTGAATACTCAAGCATGACTGAGATATGTTACCTATAATTTTCAATCATGTTTTGTAGCTAAGATCTAGGCATCCTGGACCAAATTGGGTCATATGATCCACATTTCCTATAGTACATCTAATCTCGATAACCTCTATTTTTTCATGGCTACAAAGCAAACAAGGTCCATTCTAAGACGTTGCGGGTTCTTTTTTCTTTTTCTTTTTCTTTTTCTTAATTTTTTTTTTTTTTGGAAATAGTAGACAAAGTGGGTTCTTTTAACTTCAATTTTCTTTTAAATCCCTTCATCTTTAGGTTCAAGGTGGAGAATGTGCAAGGTGTAAGTATGTGTAGAAAGTTCACCTCATCTTCATTTGAAGAACCTTTTCACCAACAACTGAGAGGTAACATGAAAATTCAACCATTAAAGTTTCAGATAACTGCGGGGTAGCAGAAAGTATCCTCCTCGTAGATTTATAAGCTACTCTCCGGATATCCCAACTTGGATGGCATTGTAAAAAGAGTATAAACTGTGAAAAATTAAGCACCAGTTAGAAATAAAAACAAATTCATTAAAGCATAATGACACCCAATTAGATAAACTGCCTCGCCAATTGACCTGCATTAATGTCTTAACTTCAAAAGTCTCCAATACCCTGCAGAAAAGAGACACTCAACTTTGATCATGATACTTCCTGGCAACACTAAAAAAATATACACAGATAGCAAACTGAGAGTAGGAACCTTCTCAAAAGTAGGATTCCTATGTGCACCATAAAACTAACCTTCGTGAATGATCTACCAGCATCACCTCAAAAAGGTCATGACAAGCCAAACAGTCCTCAGTTGATAATTTTGAGGCCTGGAAAGAGAATAGAAGCAAGTTAAGAGAATCTTAACGAAAACAGAACACAAACTTAAGGATTTCACATGCATCTTGTATCAATATATAGGTCCTCCTAAGAAGGCATAGAAGTATCTCTGTATACAATATTACACCTCATACACTGTTGCAAACTTCTTAAGATGTTTACGAGCTTAAACAACTTTAAAATGTCAAGGGGGGAATAAACATCCCTGAACTGCCGGGCGATAAATGGTGGGGAAAAAAACACAAAATTTAAGACCTCCCAAGAAGAGCAGAAGTAAGAAAGAAGGCCGTTGAAATTTGAAGAGATGAAGCCTAGGAAAAGAGCATCAACTTCAAAGCCGAGAGTTTTACTTCATTAATTGTTTGGACTTTGGACTAAAAGAATGCCATGAGAAATTGCATATTCACTAACAATGCAGACAACCGCATATAAGTGGGCAACAGAGAGAATATCATCTTATGCTTCTCGTGTGCCAACTGAGAAAAACAATCAATCAAGATGACCAAAAATAGCTCAGAATATTCACCAGAGGAATTGGCACAACTGACGGCTCGTTCTGTGATACCAATGACCAAATTTTCTCCTTTATTATAATTTCATCTAACAACAGCAGCAAAGTCAAAATTAGAATGTGTAATAAACAAAAATTCATATGAAAAGAAATTACTGAATTGTATCACAGAACCCAAAATCTAGGTCAGTAACCATTTTTTTCTTATCAATAGGTCATTAACCATTATTCATGCACCACAAAAGTGAAAAGTCCTAATACACCTGCTTTAACATCCACTGCAGCAAGTTTTGCCACACAGAGCAATGCATAAATTCCATCCAACCGTTGTGCTGCTTTCGGNTTTTGTGTAACCAGATTTAACAAGTTGTATAAGAGCTGCCAGCAGAGAGGACATCTGTGGAAGAGCATCAGCATTTTGGCACATTGCTCGCAGGCAGCGAAGATGACCTCTTCTAAGTGCTTCCTTCTCTTTGAGCCCTGATGCAATGAGAGATATGACATCCGGCTGAATAGCATCAGCACATCGTGCGGTCCAAGCAGCCAAACAAGATAAACATGCAAGCTTGGCCTCTTCATTACCTGGATAAGCATAAAGAATATAACACAGATCTGTAAGCTAAAGAAGACATTGCAGAAAAAGGAAGTGTACGAGAGAAGTTAGGCACACACATCAACGAGATAAAGATTCCAAAACGTACCATCATCCTTGTAACAGGACAGAAGGAAATTACAAATAGTCTTTGACAAGCTGTTAAGGTGTTTTCCTTCTGGGGCATTTGATAATTCTTGCAGTGCATTTATCATGCCAACTCTCTGATAGGGAAATGTAAGCCTTCCTTCCGAACCTGTCAATATTCCAGATCCAGTAAATTGCTAGCTAATTAGTAAAACGCCATATTAATAAGTCAAAGAAAACATATAAAGTCAGAAGCACAAACCTCCAATAACCAATTTGACTGCATTAAACATCGCTTCTATAGCATCTGGACTGCTAGATTTTATGCTTAAGCACCTTACGATGGATAACGCAGCAATCCTTCTAGCTTCATCTGCATGTCTCGCCTGTGTCAATAAAACTGAAAGAATCTCTACGGCATATTTACTCAAGTCGAGTTTGGAAGATTGCAAAAGGATTCCAACTGATTCCAAGACAAGCTCCGGATTTCGTTTCAACATCTTGACAGATGAGGGAATGACAGTGTTCTTAAAATCATCATGTGTCAAACGAGAAAATAATGGAATGAAAGCATCACTGAGGCCCTTTGGTGGTTTTTCTCTTGCATTTAGAACAGCTTTAACATACATCTCAAGAAAATTTTGCTGCAAGACAAAAACAACACAATATGTAAAGATAAAGCATAGAGGCCTAGGAGGATCCTAACATCTTTGGCTTCACGTGCCATAACATTTACATCACAAGAGGCATCATAGCTGCTTGAAAACCAGTTCATACCTTCCATTGATCAAATGAAGGTGGATTTATACTTGAAAATTCTAGCATCAAGAGTATAAGCTTAGGACAATCCTTGTAAGTGATCCTTGAATCCCTTAGTTCCTCCATGAAAGTTTTGTAAATATCTGGTGCCTGAAAAAGAAACACGTTATAATGAAATTTAGGACCTCTAAAACCATGCTTCAATCAGGACCTGCATATTAGTCAAATGAGATGAAACCTTTGAAAACAAAAAGAATAAGCTTCTTTTGCAGGTCCTTCTGACATGGGACGATCCTTGCATGCCAATATGCAAGACTGATGCTTGTGCTTGCGCTAGTCGACAAACTGCGTTCTTTGATACAGCGGAAAACTGGCTATTAGTTAGGAGAAGACAAGACCAACTTAAGAGCCTGTGGCACCCTATATAGGATTGGAAGTTGAACTGTTTTTCCATGAATTGTACAACGGTGCCAGCAAAAGCTTTCATAAAAGCAATTTCACCCAATGCTTTGATAATCACATCATCCACTGCGGCCCTTGATCCTCGATCATCATAAATAAATACTGTTTTGAAAACTACTTCTACCAACAGGGAAGCAATTTCAGTTGTCATCTCTGTAGAATTCAAAGTCAACAGTGAGTTTAACATAAAAATTACATCCTGAAATTAGAAAGAGTAAATATTTATTCAATTTATAATAGGAATACTTCACCAAAAGAACTTCTAGAAATGCACCACAAAAGAGTGTTTACCCGCAACCCATTCAAAAACAAAAATGTTTATAATTTCTATCAAGAGTCGGATATGTCACATAAGCAACATTGCACTAACTCTACCATGTCCATATGTCAACCCTGTGCAATCAATAGTTATTGCCAACAATTTGCTTGTAGAGGAGTGGCCTAACAACCTTTATACCCATTTCACCTTATAGTAGAGGAAAGACATAGATTACCAGCACTCGTGTGATTTTATTCACTAATTTGAACATGTATGAGAGGGAATTGAAAATGCATACATAATGAATAAAACAACAAGACAGATTACTCTATCAGCCCACCCCCACCCCCACCCCAAACCAAAAGAAGGCTACAAAGATGATGTTAAACGAGGTAAAGTAAACAATTCTATCCTACAGCAAATTGTCTGATTTTCCAAAGTAGTCTCTCATTTCCTATCCTGTAATGGTTGCTAGTTTATCATGCTATCATAACAAAACATTTTCCAACTTGTCCAACGGTAACATAAGGTATATTGTATCCTGATTCTCTAATATGATCAAGGACCACTTAATTTGGGAAAATTATCTCCATTTATATGCATTAGTCTTAGAGTAGACAAGTCGGTACTTGCTATACAAACCATAACCAAGAAAAGGTATCAAGCACCTTCAAAACGTCATGTTGAAGTTCTCAACAATTACTCTATACCTGATGTTAGGTATATCATAAATAGAATCTTGGAGAAAGTGCGCATCTTGTTGATACTGTAATGTAGGAGAATTGCATGATTCACAAGCCTAGAATTGAAAGACCACAACAACTTCAGAGCTGATCAAGCTTAGCTGAAAGTTGCAGGTCAAAGAGGGATTTGGCGGGATGTGGTGGAGAATGCTTGGTGAAAAAGAATTTAGGAACCAAGACTGAAAGAATAAAGAGTGGTAAGACCACTCAGGCAGTTATCTATAGGTGTTGCACGAAAAGAAAGGGTAAAGCCGTAAAGGAGGAGGAGCAAGAGGAAGAAGCCAAAGAAAGGTCTATTATTTCCACCTAGCTTCATGTAAGGTTGCATAAAGCACCACAAAGCAAGAATAATATCACTAAAAGCCAAAAAGCATCAGATCTTTTTTTATAACTAAGAAATTCCCGGGCACCAATAGCGCATTGTCCGAGACTCGGCGGATAATGAGTTCTCTGCTCTACCCTTCTCCATTTAAATACCAGACTTTTGTCAATGGCAGGGTTACAACCTGTGACGTTAGTCTTACCCATGCATCACACCATGTGCTCCTACCATTAGAATTTAGACCAAAGTTTTAGGGGTAAGAAATCAAATCTTTTCTATAAACAAGAATATGTCTACTACATTTGCATCAGGCTCCTTCTTTCTTTTGATGGTCAAAATTTCGTCGACATTGCACACCAAGATGGTGCGACAAAATATATACAATGTGAACTTATGGCTCAACCACATCTATCTCTTCAAGTCAATAATAGCTTTTTTGATACACCACCAGTCTCATATCAGTATATTTGTAACATTTACTTTTCTCCTTCACACTAACTCTCCCGTGCATGATCACTCATAACTCCTTGCTACTCCTAATCACCGTAAAGCTCAACATTTTATTTATCGGTTTCTAATCCCGTGCATGATCACTCATAACTCCTTGCTACTCCTAATCACCGTAAAGCTCAACATTTTATTTATCGGTTTCTAATCCCGTGCATGATCACTCATAACTCCTTGCTACTCCTAATCACCGTAAAGCTCAACATTTTATTTATCGGTTCACTAGTTCAAAAAGAAGATATGCATATTAACATGTCTACGAGACTTCTTTACTTAAACTATCCCCGGACACAACTACAATTTGTCGTATATTTATCTTATGCATGTTATACATTGTTTCATGTTAGACAAAATAAATAGTTTCTTTAAGCACATAAATGCTTTCTAGCCATCCATCCATTATATCAATGTATTAACAACTTTATACGCCTCTCTAGGCACCTACAAAAGGAAATAGGTGCTTAGAATGTTCATTTTCCGAATCACCAACTAGGTAATAGCCCAGCCTAACAAGGCCTCTACCAGAAGCAAAATTTTCAAACAAAAACGACTAATCGAACTCAAGCAACTACACTCCAGCTCCATCACCATCGCCTAATTCATTGAGTAACTTTTTGTTCTGATTCATTCAGTAACTCTTTGTTAAACTACTAAGCTAATATGAGTTGTATCGTCGAACTTCATTCAAAAATGAAACTTGAATTTATATACAATCAAATTCCAAAATCATCTCTATTTGATCATTCCATTCTTTCACCAGTGGTCTATCGGAAACAGCCTCTCTGCCCTTACAGGGTAGGGGTAAGGTTGCGTACATCTTACCCTCCCCAGACCCCACTTGTGGAAAATCACTGGGTTTGTTGTTGTTGTTGTTGTTGTATCTCTATTTGATCATTGTTTAGATTTCGCTGAAATTCAGCGTGGGTGCTGCAGTGAGTCATCTAGATGTCGAAAGTTTAAAGACTTGATTGAGGAATGCAATATTATCCGACAAAAGCCCCGGCAGGACTTGTTCAAATAATGATTCAGTTACAATTCAATTCTATGTGGAGATCCTAACAATGCATAACATGGAACGGATGTGAAAACAGAAATGCTAGTTTCCTCAAGCATTCCCCTCTCCTATAACACCTGTAAGTTGAAGATGCTTCAAATGTCACATTGAAGGCTAAAAGGAACACATATATATACTTAAAAATCTGCAATACAATGGTAACATAACCATATCCCATACTACTTACTGCATTAAGCTTCTTAAACCATGGTCTATTTTCCAAATGTCTGAACCCAAATCTCGTAAAAGAGAATGTTATGACCCTTCCATCTAAATAAATATGAGTAAATAATTAACCAGGATGAGCAAATAACCAATCAAACCATCAAATGTACGCCCCAGGCTGGCATTGGTGTCCCTTTTTTCATTGATAATCTCAGTTTTAATTAAATGTGCCAAACTTTTCCAAATATAGAAAACAGTGCTTCCATCACACATCATTTGAATCCTTAGGGCCGCTAGAAACTGGTGATTCATTTACTTCACATGCATATAACTTTTCAATTGTGACCATGAGGAACAAAAGAAACAGCAGAGCATTCAGTCAACTGAGAACACTTTCTAACAGATTGTTGAAACCTTTTCCCTTAATATATTCTTATAGATGATTGGTTGTTCTTTGTAGGGATGCATGTTTCAGTCTAAGGATTATCAGAGTTAGATGCCTCTTGTTCACACATTCCCATTTAATTGTTGAACAACAGAACTTTTACTCAACAAAAAAGCAGAAATATTAACTTTCATAAACTATTTTAGCACTCAAGGGTGTGGCCTAGTGATCAACGAAGTGGGTTGAGAACCATGGAGTCTCGGGTTTAAATTCGAGCCGAGGCAAAAATATTAGGTGATTTCTTTCCGTATATTCAAGCCTTGGTGGACAGAACTAACAGGTACCTGTGTTGGTGGGAGGTACTGCATGGATTGAGTCGAGTTGCACGCAAGCACGCCCAGATACCACGGTTATCAAAAAAATAGCTATCAAAATACTTTGACAAATTTGTGAAAAGACCATATCTTTCTCCTCTATGGGTACACCGTTATGGAGAAATGTTCCCCATGGAAAATAGTCTTCCGTGGAAAATATTTTACCTTGAGAGAACATTTACCGGATTAATTTTCCAGTGTTTGATTATGTACAAAGCAATGGTGAAATTTAGAGCGTACAGGCAATGTTTTGATGATACTTTCGATTGAAAATACTGTCTTACTTATTATAAAACATAAGAGAGAAAATGCTGACCAGAATTACGGAGAATGTTAGGAATCTCATTTCGGAAAATCTGAATTCGGCGTTTGGTGGATGATGTTGAGATTGACGAAGCAATGGAATTTAATGATTCGACTGGACTCGCCATTTTGGAGCTGAAGCTGATTTCAGATTGACGCAGCAGTCTCTCGCTCCGGCGATCCCCGAGAACGGCGGAGTTGGACGTAGCGGCGAGCTCAATATGACGGAAAATAGAGAGAGAAACTGTTAACGATGAAATTTTCGGAATAAGATTTTAGGGTTTCAAATGGCTGTCAACAAAGATGGCTGCTAATAGTTTTGTTTTAAAGTCTCCAGCTCCAGCAAGTAGGACTGTAGGAGGGTATTTCCTGTGTCGTCCTTGTCCTTTTCTTTCTCCCTATTAATATTAATTGATTTGATTTGATTTGATTTGATTTGATGATTTGATTGGATAATGAAGATCTGAAACTCAGTAGTAGTTTGCAAAATAAGTGTTTTTAAAATTCTTTTTCAAAATGGAATTAGCAAAAAAAAAAAAAAATTAGGGTCATTTGTCTCACATATTAGCTATGCAGTTATTATAGTACTGGTTATTATCCAAAAGTAATAACATATGAATTAAGTATTATATATAGAAATAACAATATAGAGATTGTTATACCGTGAATAATAATGTATAATTATTGTGCAAGATCATATTTTAAAAGAACTAATATTGGGATCTGCTTGTGTACCCTATATTAATAAGTGCATAGTTTTTAAGAATTAAATAAATAGTAATAAATAATATATTTAAGTTATAAATTAAAAATTTAGAAAGTGTAAGTTCCTAAAAATGATGAATATTGCTTCAATTTAGCTAGCTCAATAAAAAAGAAATCTTGCCCTTTAGAAGTCTTTCATATATCATTATTATGATTTCTGAGGACTTATGTGGAAATACTTTATGAATTTTATTGTTATATATGTGACTTAATACCGAAAACAAACAAGTGACACAAAATAATTTTATCACAGTTATTCAAAGATTTGTTAGATAACATAAATAAAAATATTTTTTTCTTTTAAAGATTTAGGAATTAAGAGGTTGATTATATAGCTCCTAGAAAAGAATTGATAAACGTGAAGTCAAAAATGACTAATTGTAAGTTACTTTTTTATTTTTATAGAAACATAGCGAGTCAACTTATTGTTTCAAGTTTGCGTTTGAGTTAAATTGGATTTTTAACTAATTGCTTGATTCAACAACGTACTTATTTATTCTCAACAACAATAAAAAAAGTATTAATTTAAATTCTTAATATTAGTTCATCACAAGTTTTACATGTTTAGTTGTAACTATAATAATATTTGATTACATTATATTTTTATCCAATAAGAATTCTACTAGTATACGTACTCGTCCGGTGCGCGGATTATTTCAAAAAAAAAATTAATATAATATAAACATGTCTATATTGTAGACTAAATTTAGCGATCATATTGAGAAGAATTAAATCAAAAAACTAATATTTGAATTTCATACTTTCATACCAGTCTTATGCACTCACGTAAAGGTCAAAAATAAAATTTGTCTCAAATTCAAAATAAAATTAGTATAGATAATCAAATAAATTGCAGTCTTACATTTCCTCTTGGAGTGATTGAAGTTTCTTTCCTTCATAAAATAAGGATAGTAAAAGCTTTTACGTCAACTTATTCAATACCCTTTCCATCGTCCAAAGCATAACCAATCATTGTTGTTCCTCTTGTTTGAAAGACCCAATATTTTCATTAACTTTTGCACTAAATGATGCGTCTCGTCCAAGATGCCATACTTGTGCGGCTCCCCAGCTAGTAACTACTGCCTTTTCCTTCAATATTCCAGCTAATTTCTCTCCATATCGCATTGCACTTTAGCAGTTTTTTTTTCAATATAGCTTGTTGCGCTCTTGCTCTATTCTTGAACATTCTGTTTTGCAGTTGAAGTTATCTACTTCGGGGAAGGAGTTTTTGTTTCACCAGTTGTACTGATCTTCTCCTTAATCTCCCATGTTTTGGGGCAACAAAGAACGGAAGGGAAAAAGATATATGATCTGTCAAGAGAAAAAACAATTGTTTAAAGTTTGAAGAAAAATATACCTCTTATGTAAAATTGATTACAAATCTGCCCAAAGGAATACTGGTATATAATTATATATGCCCAAAGGAATAGTGGTATCATGTACATGTGTCATAATTGTCCTTGAACACAAGATGAGAGAACTATTTTTTATTGCTTGCTTCAGTTTGTCAATCCATCTCGCACCAAATGTCACGACCCGAAATTCCCAACCTCGGGACTATGATGGCGCCTAACACTCACTTATTAGGCAAGACGAAGTTAATAAAATAATTAATCAATTTTTAATAATTAATAAAAAGTATTGTCATTTAACAAGAAATAAACTTAGAATTTAACACATTGTGAATAAAAGTAACGCAATGCTAACGACTCCCAAAAATCCGGAGTCACAAGTATATGAGCGACTAAAATACTACATATATGGTATGAAACAAAGTACAACTGTTTGAAACTAGATAAACAGTAGGATAAATAAAGAAGGGGACTTTAGAGTTGCGAACGCCGTGCAACTATACCTCAAGTCTCCAAATGTGGCTGAATCCGAGCAGAAAACCACTAGACGTCGCTAGGATCAACACCAGTATTTACACAAGAAGTGTAAAAGTGTAGCACGAGTACAACCGACCCAATGTACTATGTAAGTGTCGAGCCTAACCTCGACGAGTACTGATGAGGCTACGAGGCTACGACAAGACATATGCATCAAAGCCGGAACAAATATATATATATATATATATAGAGAGAGAGAGAGGGGGGGGGGGAGAGAGAAAAAACAGCAAAATAACAAGTGGAACAATAAAAATATTAATTAGGAGGGAGCATGCGAAAAAAGGAAATATCATAAGTACGGCAAGTACGAAATCACCAAATAACAACTTCCGAAATAAGAAACAATGTAACCAAGTAATTCACCAATCCAGAAATCAAATAAGGCAATGAAATAAAGATGGCACGGCATCACCCTTTGTGCTTTTACTCTCGTCTTCACCATGTAATATCATAAATAAAATGGCACGATATCATCCTTCGTGCTTTAATCCTCACAACCTCTCAATATATGATAATAAATGCAAATAAGGCACCACAACACCCTTCGTGCTCTTCATTCTTCCTCACCAAGCAACAATACAAATACAAATTAACAATGCAAGGCGAAAAGCAATTTCACTTCAATTATAGAGCCATGGTAACCAATTCAACCTGCGAAAAATTACCAATATCTTCTAAAATAAAACAATAAATACTAAGCGACTAATTAAAGAATTAATAATCTAATCTAAGCATGAAAAATATAATCAATGAAACAATTTAGAACAAAGAATCAATTTTCACTCGCATGCTTTAACCGAATAACAACACATATGTACTCGTCACCTCACATGTACGTCATTCCCACACACAATACACGTAGCAAATAGGCCAACAAGTCCTAATCCTTAAGTCAAGGTTAACCGCGATACTTTTTTCACTACGCAACCAAAGCAATCAATCAACCACGACTTTGCCTTTTGAACAAGCCTCTAAACCAACCAAATCCAGCAAATTATCGATCAAACGGTTCAAACTAAGCTTTAGAAACTACCCATTTATGAAAATGAAAAGGTTCAGTTTTGATCATTTTTTGAAAAGTAAAAAAAAAAGAGTCAACCTCGGGTCCACTTGGTCAAAACCCGAGGCTCGCAAAACTCAATTACCCATTCACCTTGAAGCTCGATTATGTGATTTATTTCAAAATCCGACCTCAATTTGAGATCTAAATCTCAATTTTATAAAATTCCCCAATTTCTATCAAAATCTCTTATTTCTACCATGAAAATGCTAATTTTGATATGGAAAACACATGAAAAGTAATGGGTAATTGAAAAAAAAATGGATTAAAGTTACTTACCAATAATTTTGGGAAGAAAGTTCTCTTGAGAAATCGCCTCTAGAGTGTTTAGGGTTGAGAAATAGTATAAAATGAGCTAAGTCTCGACTTTCCCCTCTTTTTATCCAGCTACGGATATCGCAATTGTGAGCATTGCAAATACGAACCCTACCTCAGAAGCCCAGATATAGTAAATGAGACATAATGTTCGCAAATGTGGACAACCACCCATCGCAAATGCGGCCAAAAGCTTCGCAAATGTGAAGTAGACTCAAGTTGCCTGTGATCGCAAATGCGACCACTTCCTTCGCAAAAGCGAATGGCCACAGTTCGTAAAAGCTAACAAAATCCTCGCAAAATGCGAGGTTACTCAATCTCAGGCCTTGCTCGCAAATGCGAACTTTTGTCCGCAAAATCAAAGCTCGCAAATGTGAGATATGCAACAGAACACCAAAGCTGGAAAGACACCAGCACACTTCAACCATCCAAACTCATCTGAAACGCGTCTGAAACTCACCCGAACCCATCGGACTCCAAATTAAACATGCACACAAGTGTAGTAACATCATACGAACTCGCCTGCACGATCATATCATCAAAATAACACCTAGAACTATGAATTGGATATCAAAATGCATGAAATTTTCAAAGAAACTCAAGAACTTCAAAAATTACAACCGGCGTCCGAATCCTATCAAACCAACTCTGGTTTGCACCAATTTTTGCAGATAAGCTTCAAATAGCAAAGGGGCTTATACTAAGTCCCAAAATTAAAATTCGAGCCCGGTATCCATAAATTTAACCTACGATCAAACCTAAAAAATTTTTAAACCTTCAAGTTACTAGCTTTCGGTAAAAGAAGTCAAGTCAAGTTAGGAACTTTCGAATTCAATTTTGTGTATACGAACAAGTCCAAAATCACGATACGGACCACCAGAATCATCAAAATATTGATCCAGAATCGTTTACATAAAATGTTGACCGTAGTCAACTCAAGTTATTTTTAAAGCCAAAAATCATGTTTTCTTCAAATTTTCGCATAAATACTTCCCAAAAAGCGACACCGACCATGCACGCAAACTCAGAAACATCAAATGGAGCTAATGGGGGTCTTAGAATACCGAAATAAGGACTAGTACTCAAAATAACATATCGGATTGCCACACCAAAGTAGCCAAAGATGCAACCCAATCTCACACATATATTTCGAACCACTTGGTTCCCTTCGCAGCACAATGTCGAACATAATTGAGCTTCACATTGGAGTCTATAATTTTTTGTAAACTTTCTCTACATAAATTTTATTGATTTGATTTATTTACTACACAAGCAGATGCATACAAAAACCCAAAGTAGCTACTGTCAATTTATTCCACATACCTGACAA